CATATACACATTCATACCAGCACCTCCTCCATCTCTCGAGCCTTTCGCCTAACCGCACATTTGTCTTCGCGCAACCGCTAGCGCAACAAGAAACGATCACGTCGATACCGCTGCGACAACAAGATGCGCATGCTTCGGTACTGCGGTACCAATGCTCCGCTCTGTGGACGCCGAGACATATACTCGCTGTGCGCGAAGGGACGTCTTATAGTGCAGGTTTATGTACGATACAGATTGGGGAACTACGAGCAACACGCGAAGGACCGCAATCAGGCGCTGTGTCTTCGCCGGGTATCGTAATCTGCATCAGCACACCAATCGGCGCTGAGGATGCAGACAACAGCATGAACTCAGGTTACGACACAATGGGAAACGGTACAGCAATGGATGTGGATGAAGAAGAAGTCGATATCGAATATGCGCAGACTCTAGTACGTGACTGCTGGAGTACGATCAAAGATGGGCGCGATCTGGGCCGGTCAGAGGTTAGGGAACTCATGATGGCTCCAGTTACAACAAACAATAAGGGTCGGGAGCAGGAGGCAATAGTGCGCGTTTGGTGTGAAGCTCTACGCATGCGCGGTTGAGCATGTCGACACAATCTCGTTTTCATCTTATTTATTACCAGATACCCAATGCATTAAGATACAGACTGAGGGTCAGTCGCAACGTGAAATCAAATCGTGACACATGCAAGTAGACGTGGACAATGGATAGCTTTACAGTTCGACAGACTATGCCAGGCCTACCCTACCCAGACACTCGTAAGACCGTCTAGTCTCATTCCCTCCTACCAATTCCCTAGGTATCCCTACAGGTATCTAAACTACAACAACGTAAAAAGAAAAAGCGAATGAAGAAAGAGAAGAAAGCGAAGGTGGTAAGGTCAAGTATTAAGGCAACGTTTCGCGCACATTCAGATTACAACACATAGTTGAGAATCGATCCCTAAAGCTGGATCAGCTGCGCGCCATAAACCCCAGACCGGACATATGCAAAGGAAAATTTGTTCGAAGATGAAGGTAGTAGTAACAACCAACCAGTAGATGAGTGGAAAGTATCGGATAATGAAGAAGATATACAACATCTACGATGCGCTCACTGCGCACCGACCTCCTCTTCGGCCCAGCCAGGAAGACCACCGTCACCCTGGATGGCAAGACCGTAACCACCGTTACCACTGCCAAAGCCACCAATGCCGGAGCTCAGGCTGCCAAAGGAACCCTGCTGGGGTGCTTGAGTTTGCTGCATAGAGTGGTTGAAGGGACCTTGAGTGAAAGCAGGAAGGCTGACGGCACGGGAGTGTTGACCACGAGAGTTGAGGTTCGAGGGCGCAAGGAGACCACCAACAGTAGTAGTACCAGAGCTACCAGCTGAGGTACCGTTAATCAGGCTGAAGCTCGAGGTGCTCTGATGGGAGCTGTGAGAGTGGTGTGGCTGAGGGGTGTTCAAGTCAGCGCCGTAGAATGCAGCTTGCGGCGACTGGAACGATTGCTGCTGATGTTGCTGCTGATTCTGCTGCTGTTGTTGTTGTTGCATGCTAGCCTCAACCTGCTGTTGCTGCTGCTGCTGTTGCTGAGCTTGCAGGTACATCATGAGGGGATTGTTGTTGCCAGAGTTCATGATGTTACCTGAAGCAGGTGCTTGAACAGAGGGAAACTGTCCGTTGGTGCTTTGGCCAGAGCCTGGGGCGCCAGAGCCAGTCGGCGAGACTGAGGCACCAGCACGGTTAGGGTGTAGTCCGTTGATCGGCGATGGTGACTGAAGGCCGTCGCTACCAGCTTGCTGGGCCTGAGCCTGCTGGCTGTTCATCTGGCGGGGAGGGTTACCGCATCGGTCCTTTCCGAAGTTGACCTTGAATCGCTTGTATTCATCACGACCACGGATCGCTTCGATTGCCTTGATAGCATTGGCAATGTTGGTGAAGTTGACAAATGCACAGCTCTTCTCACGCAGAGTGTTGACCAGCTCGATTTCGCCATACTCGGAGAAATCCTGCCTCAGACGGTCCTCTGTCCAGGACTCATCCAGGTTGCCAATGTATACATTACGGGAAGCACCACCACTGACAGCAAGGGCAATCGCCGGAGGGAGAGCACCAGAGTGTTTACCCCAACCAATCTTCAAGCGACGGTTATGGATCATCAGTCCCTGCAGGTTGCTGAGGGCATAAAACGATGCGGCCGATGTTGGGTCGATGAAAGTAACGAAGCAGATATGCTTGTCCGGGATGTACCTAATGTGATGAAGGAGACCACCACGAACAACGTTGCAGATCTCTTCGATGGTAGTCTCCGGGTGGATGTTCCCAAGGTACACTGTTCGGTTACCCAAGTTGTTGACTCCTCCAGCAGACGTCGCGACAGCGGCAGCAGCTACGGATTGCTGAGCAAGCGCATTGGAGATCATATCGCGGTCGGCACCGTTCAGAACATGGGCGTATCCGGGAGCGATGCCAAGGTATTGCGCAGCGTTCTGTTGCTGGGTCTTGGAAACGTATGCGCATCGGTCCTTGCCATAGTAGACGCGCCTGGGAGCCTGCCACTTGGGCTCTTGGGGAAGCTGAGAAACAGCCTTGATGGCATTGCCAATTGACAAAAAGTGAACGAAACCGATAGCCTTCTCCCGGACGATCTTGACAGTGTCGATTGGGCCAAATTTGCTAAGGTCTTCGCGAAGTTCATCCTCTGAAACATCCTCGGACAAGTTGCCCAGGTATACGTTGCGGGAAGCGCCGGACTGCTGTACTGCCAAGGCCACAGATGTGGGAACCTGCGACGGTTTCCCCCATCCAATCTTAATATCCTGGCCTCTGATTGACAGCTTTTTCAGGATTGCGTCAGAGTGGAAGTGGGTGGCGGAGCTGCTGTCGAGGAAGGAGATGAAGGCGCAGTTCTTGTCTGGCAGAAGCCTGACGGACTCAATTTGGCCACTGCGTACGTGGCCAAGGATTTCCTCTGCGGAAGTCTCAGGAGGAATGTTGCCCAAGTATACGGTCCTGCTAGTTCCGGAGACGAGGCCAGGCGCGATCGGCATGGAGGAGCCGAGTCCACCAAGACCCTGTGCGCCGTAACCAGGGAAACCTCCGGTAGGCGACTGTGGACCACCGAAGAAACCGCTGGTGGGAGACACCATGTTCTGGTAAAGCTGCGGTGAGAGAGGCTGCTGCAAGGGGCTGCCAACATGGTTGGACTGGTGGTTCTGCTGCTGCGATTGGTTCTGACCGGCGAACTGTGCAAAGTTCTGGAACTGCGGGGAAGCGAAAGCGGAGGGCGAGCCTGGCTGGAAGGGGCTACCAAGAAGCAGCTGGGACGGAAGCAGAGGAGTGAAGTTCATATCGAAGCCGGTGCCTGGGGTTTGCAAGTCGTTGCCGTTCTGGTTGCCCGGGTTGAGTCTTCCAGTATTGATGGACATGTTGTTTGCCCTCTCCGGGTGTCGGTCGCCATAGCCGGGCTGGTTGGTCGCAAAGGCGCCATGGGAAAAGCCGTGGTGGCCACCGCCGTTCATCTGCCTGTGGAAGCTCGACTGGAGACGGGGCCCGCTAGGAGCGTTGGGGGCGCCCTCGTGTTGCTGCATACCGAGAAGATGCGGGGGCAGACTGAAGCTGTCCCGCGCGCTGTGAGATAGAACCGCCGTGGTGAAGGTGTATTATTGCGTCCGGGACTCGTTGGACCGGACGGCGAAATATGTACTGCAGAAGGTGAAGTTGCAACCGGTTGCAGGGTGGTCGCTAGGCTTGCGAAGATGCTGCTGTATTACAAGATGTAGAGCGGTCTGGAAGTGTTAGTTCCATCTCACAGTGCAAAAGACATGGTTGCGGAGACGTACATGCAAAAGCACAATGGCAACGGGTTGTTTGCAGGTCTAACAATACAAGACAGGCTCCCAACACAGGCAATTGCAGCCCAAATGATCCAGGTACAGACGTCCAAAAGGGTACTGTCGCGGGCTTGAATAGTGAACGCAGCGGGGACGCAATTAAATGCAGTGTGCCAGAGTTGCCGAAGAACAAACTCGCGTGGCTTGTTTGAGGATGCGTGCACTAAAAGAGCGAACAATAAGAATGAAGTGCAAAGAAGCAAGCTTTGCCGGGAGCCTCGATGCGGGGAGAAGAGGAGGTAATGAACGAAGGGGATCGAAGAAGAGGGATGCGACCTGAAGTCGGAGTGGAGGAACGAAGAAAGAGGTCGGTGAGAAATGCTAACTAGCAGGGCACATTAGGAGGCAGGCGCAAATGAGGCAGCCCAAAGGGGACAGCTAGCGCACCGCTTATTTTAAACGCGCAGACCACGTCTGAATCGTGCAAACCACCGTCGACACCAACCGCTGCCCTGCAGTTCTCTGGACCCGTAGACGCCTGTGCGAGGCGGCGTGGTATTTCGTGCAGCGACGCGCCCCAGTGCCTGGCGAAGAGGGTGTTGTGCTACCGGCGGTGCAGCTCGGAGCCATCCAGCGGATGCCGACGACGGGGAATTGCAGATATGCACACTCCGTCCCTGACTAGATGAGCCGCCTGATAGTGCTGCTCTTAACACGGGTCCCTTTTTCCTTTGTCGGGCGAACACGAAAGGGTCCAGATCGTATTGCGGCGGCTCCCGTTCCAGACGTAAGGATAGCCCTTAGTGCCAGCCTGCCCATCGCCTCGTCTCAGCAATCGATAGATACATAACGTTTTCACATGGTCTGCTTCCGGCGGTATACTACCGTGCACCGTCGCCGTGTGTGCAACAAACATGGAGCCCTACCCATTATGGGTATCAGATGTCAAACGTGATTATGCGAAACCTCCACGTGTGTCATGCCTGCCAACCCCTGAGTTTGCTGACTTCTGGAATGACGTTTGCGCGTTCGTTTGACGCGTTCTGTACATGCCATACGTAGACGCTTCAGCGACCTGGGTACAGGGATCAATTCTAAGCGAGCACGTGACGCCGAACTACGAGCGACTGGTCAATCTGTGCTTTCCGACGATCGTGCATCCACCCGCTGTCAATTCTCCCATGGCAGAACTGTATCCGTCCATTGCGCAGTGCGCTGTTGTGGCTACAGCGCTCAAGGTGCTGCTATTTCCTGCTTAGTACGTTTACTTGCATAATGTCCATGTTTGATCCTTCGTCCATGCTGACCATATCCGGCAGCAAGTCGACCGACTTCGAAGTTCATCGCAACTGGCTCGCTCTAACGCATTCCCTGCCCATTAAACAGTGGTACTATGAAGTCAGACACCCAGGCCATCGACAACAGTCAAGTAGTTCAGTCTAACCCTGTCCACAGAAAACCTCAGAATGGACTCTAGACTATCCGCCCTTTTTCGCCTACTTTGAGTGGCTTATGTCTCAAGCCGCTGCATATGTCGACCCAGGTCTACTAAACGTCAAAGATCTGGGATATGACAGCTGGCAGACTATATACTTTCAGCGTACTACAGTCATCGTTACCGAGCTTGTCTTGGTATATGCTTTGCATCTGTACTTATATGCCACCCTGCATGACATTGCCATTGCTAAATGCTTACCAGCTACGTGAAGACATCAAAGTCCAAGGTGACTGCCCATGCCGCTGCACTCTCCGTCTTGCTGTCTCCAGGACTCCTAATCATCGACCACATCCACTTTCAGTACAATGGCTTCCTCTACGGCATTCTCATACTGTCTATGGTCCTGGCCCGGAACAACTCGACACTCTTATTGTCTGGTCTGCTCTTTGCAGCTCTGCTGTGCCTCAAGCACATATACTTGTACCTCGCACCTGCTTACTTCGTTTACCTTTTGCGCGCTTACTGCTTAGGGCAGCAGTCGTCCTTCCCGTACTTTACTATTCGGTTCTTCAACTGCGTCAAGTTGGGAGTAGGTATCGTTGCTGTCTTCGCAGCTGCGTTCGGTCCATTCGCGATATGGGAGCAAATACCGCAAGTGTTCAGTCGCTTGTTCCCATTCTCGCGGGGTCTATGTCATGCGTACTGGGCGCCAAATGTCTGGGCGATGTATTCGTTCTCTGATCGAGTTTTGATTTACCGTATGCAAAACTCCACCATCTTGGTGTATCGAGCTAACACATGCAGTTGCCCCGCGTCTTGGGTTACGCGTTGATCAAGAGGCAGTGAACAGTGTCACTCGAGGTCTTGTTGGGGACACGTCCTTCGCGGTGCTACCAGATATTAGCCCTTTGATCTGCTTTCTTCTTACACTTGGCACACAGATAGTACGTATACTTGCGGAGCAGGAGATTGATTGCACTAACCTCCCTCAGCCTGTTCTCCTCCGCCTCCTATACAAACCCACCTGGGAGGCCTTTGTAGGTGCTGTGACGCTTTGCGGCTATGCATCTTTCTTGTTCGGCTGGCATGTTCATGAGAAGGCGATCCTGCTCGTCATAATCCCATTCAGTCTGATAGCACTCCAGGATCGCAGATACTTCGGCGCTTTCCGGCCCCTAGCTGTCGCCGGTCACGTATCGCTTTTTCCTCTACTGTACACGGCAGCTGAGTTTCCTGTGAAGACAGTCTACACTATCTTCTGGCTTGTACTCTTCCTTATCGCGTTCGATAGGCTAGCTCCTGCGTAGGTGCCGTCTAGTCTTGTTCGATCATACACTGACATGCCACAGTTCACCCAAACCCAGAATCTTCTTGCTTGATCGCTTCTCTCTCCTCTATATCGCTCTTTCAATTCCACTGATTGCATACTGCTCCTTGGTTCACGGGATAGTGTTTGGCTCTCGATACGAGTTCCTGCCGCTCATGTTTACGAGTTCGTACTCAGCAGTTGGTGTGGTAGGCAGCTGGGTCGGCTTTTTGGTAGTGTACTTCGACTTGTAGATATACTCATCTCAACTATACCTCCAACACAGCTCTTCCAACTCCTATTATTTCAGGTCAACGACCTCTCACTAAAGGCTATCATGCCTGCGATGTTATCTTGTCGTTGACTTAGCTTTCGTCTCATGCGCAATGGCACAGAATTGGATGATGGTATGTGGAAAGTAACTGAATTGTGATTGCCAGATCACGCTCAGGAGCATAGCGGATACTTCGGAGAATCAAGTCGGATCGTATGCTTGACTGCTATTTAGCAAAGGAGAGACAGGACAACATCAGTCAGAAGTAGAGGCCAAACAAACACCTCGGAGCAGACTTGATATTGCAAAGATATCGTGACTGATGCCTGAATCTGTACCTGAAATCACGGCCTCTGGGGTGCGGCTCGAGGTGGGGGTAAAGTTGGTGACTTGCTGTGTCTGAGCAAGTGGGTCAGGCTGCCCCAAGGGTTTGCTCGGGGTGGCTCAAGGCATGGGCTTCTCATGGCCAACCTTCACTTGATCTTGATAAAACAAAAGGGTCATCACAGCAAAACAAAACGATGCATACGTATCGCAGTCTGAAAGAACTCGTTTTGAGGGTTCCAGAGAGTCCAAACACGTTGATATTTTGATGGTAGTGGGGTGCGTAGCTTTGATGCGTAGGTGGTAGGGTGCGAACGCAGTCCTTGCCGGATCAAGTATGGTATCTAGTGCCAAGGGACTACGGGCATCTTCTACTACCCTCCGCTCGCTTTTCTCCCCCATTGACTACTCTTCGACTAATTCTCTCCACCCTACCTTCCACCTTCGCAACTATCACGCCCTCGACACCCACGAACTTACTTGCAAGTCGCTTAGACGCGCTTTCGGAACCGACAGACGCGTCTCGGAACGCTACTCGGACCACCGAAGACTGCGACGACAATTTCGAGAGACCTTTGTCTGGCGCGTAAAGACAGGTCTTCGCCCTGACGCCTACGGAGGGGCCATTGCCCCCGTCTCTTCTCTCAAAGTACCTCTAGAGAAGGTATTCGGCGCGTTTGGATCGTCGCGACACTTCCGAAGTTTGCGACGCGGTACAGCAAACACCAAGAAGGCTACATGAGCTAGGGTACGAGCCAAAATGGTATGTGTCGGGTCGCAGTCTATACACGAACATATACTAAGAAGGCTCCAGGTTCTCTACAAGCGCAAGCCCGTCAAACACGAATCCCTACCCAAGAACCTCGACGACAGCACTGAGGTACGCCACATACTGTGCCGAACCACAGAACGTATTTGCTAAAGTTGCTCGATAGGTGTGGCATATCGAACAGACTGGAGAGGTCTTCACAGACTATGAGCGGTTCCTTGAGCGGTAAGAAAACATATCGAATGACGTCAGGCATCAGGACATATCTGATGAAGAATAGATATGACTTTTATCAGCAACGGAGCTTCACATGCCAGGCCACTGGCCATTCAGGCTACACGTATTTCGAGGCCCAGGAGAGCGAGGTAGGCTCCACGTCAATACTCGTCAAGGCCGATGAGGAGGTAACATCCGTGCAGACGGAAGCCACCAAGGAGATCAACAGCATTTTCCCAGATGGCTTGAGGTCTCCTGTTCTTCACTATGTCCAGTTCCAAGATCATCATCGGATGGATGATTTGGGTAGGTCAATCCCGTTTTGCTTAGTCCATGAATCTTGCTAATCACTTATATAGTAAATGATGTCTACGATGTATGTTCACAAAGCGGATTCGAATCTTCACACGAGAATGCCATACTGACATGTTGTTGTAGCATTTCAAGGAACAGTTCATGTTAGGCGATCGGGTTTCCGTCGAAGGCGATCACTCGCGCCGCTTCGGCAAGATCACTGAAATCACAGACAATAGCCGATTACACAGCATGTTTACTGGTCAATCGATGGACGATAGCATCCGTTCTTACACCTACGTTGTCACTATGGAAGACGGGGGTGAAACTGTCACCAAATACAAGGCCTCGGAACTTCAGCGGGATCGAAAAACCTACTCCAAGCTCATCTTGAAAGCTTTTCTGCGCAACGCGCTCAAGCGCGAGTCGTGGATCGGTGCGCCATGGATGGTCAAGGACAGTTTAGCAAAGCGATACGACATCCCAACCAAACTTCCTGACAAGAAGACTAGAGACGCTCTACTAGCCGCTAAGCGGGCTGCGAATGCTGTACCGAACGGTGTGACCCAACCTGTTCAACAGCAATATCCACAGCAGCTACCAAACGGTCATGGCTCACATATGAATGGTCACAGACAGCCTTTGCCACCTGGGCAAGGTCAGCCAGCCTTTGTCAACTTCTCGGCCAGCGGCCCTCCACCCTATGCGCAGCAGCAAGGCATCATGCCTCCATGGGCAGCTGCTAATGCTACTAATCGCCCGGCATATTTTATCAACGGTCCTCCAATTTACAATAGTGGACCTCCGCCGATTGCGAATGTTCAACCGCCACCACACATCTTGGCTCAGCTGCAGCCTCACCTTGCTGCGCAATTAATGCAGATGCCTCCCCATGGTCATGGCCCGCCCATCAACTTTCCGTTCCAGACCAGCTTCAATCACCATCAAGGTCCTCATCTGACAAATGTTCCGCAGCCTCAACAGGCACCTCCGCCGCCCCGTCCAGTGGAGTATATTAAATATCCATGCGAAGATTTAGAGATCAAGCAACCTCGTCTTCAGGTCAACCGGCCGCCGCTTAAATTCTTCTCCGACGACGTACCCGAAGGAGTTGAGCCGCCTGCAGAACAGAAAAAGACGGGTATCTTGATGAAGAGTATCGGCCCATTACTCTGTATTTGGGAGACTCTCAACGTTCACGACACCATCTACATGCTAGACTCGTTCACTTTCGATGACTTTGTTGATGCTATGCGATTCACGCATGAGACTGTCGAGTGTGAGTTGTTTGTAGAAATGCATTGTGCAATTCTAAAGCAGATCGTCAACGGCTCTGGTAAGATTCAGACCAGCCTACCCAACCTAGCCGATGAAGATTCGTCAGACGAAGAGTCGAGTGAGGAGTCAACGCCTACCCCTGAGCCTGAACCGCCAGTTCGAACTACTCGTAGTAGCTTGAGGAAGTCGGGCGCAGCGCAACTTGTGGTCAAGCCACGCACACCAACGCCTGAGCCTCCAAAGGAACTCCACAAGGCTGAGGAGTTCGTCACTGACTTCGACTGGGTTGAGCAGTGTAAGATTCGCAATTTCGCTGATGGAGGATGGCAAGCAATCGTTGTCGCAATCCTTTATCGCCTATCATTCGACTCTGCTAGAAAGGAAGCTTGCGATGAAGTTCTTGCTGAGCTGTGCCCACCTGAGGAGGAGCCTACCATGGCCACCATTGCCAGTAACTACACTACGCTCGATGTGAACCTACGCATCTCAGCACTTGAAATGATTCTAAGCTTGACTGTCGTCACTGAGGACTTCCGCGATCAGCTTGTTGCTGCCGCTCAGGAGATGACACGCCTTCGCAAGGAAAAGATTGAGTATCAACGCAAACGTAAGGAGCTGGCCGATGAGCTATTCAAGTTGGACTTGGAGCGCAAGATTCATCTTCCAGCAAACACACCCGCCTCGCCTACGGATACCAAGATGACCGAAGATGCTGATGTGTCTATGACTAGTGTCAATGATGCTTCCAAGGAAGCAGATGCTGAAACAAACGGTGGCGACGAGCTGACAGCATCGAAGGGCAGGACCCGCCCAGCTAATAAGAACAAGCGCAAGGCAGCTGCTGAGGAGGCTCGTAAAGAGAAAGCCAAGAAGGCTAAGGCGGAAGCAGAGAAGACCAAGAAGCAGAAGGAGTGGGAGAAGCTACTGCAGGCGATCGAGAAGAAGAAGGATGAACTCAAAGATTGCGAGGACAACATCAATGAACTCGACGATGATCTGCGCGAGACTCTGGTACACCGTAGCAAGATTCTTGGCAAGGACCGGTTCTTGAACAAGTACTACTGGTTCGAGCACAACGGCATGCCCTTCGGCGGTGTTCCTAACAGCTCTACTGCCGAATACGGATATGCCAATGGTCGCATCTGGGTACAGGGACCGAGCGAACATGAACTTGGACCGAACCTAGAAGAGCCTGCCCTCTCCCAAGATATGCAGCGTTTTGGCTACACTGTTCCGCAGCGCAAAGAGCGAGAAGAAGGCCCGACCCACCTATCGAACTCCAACCAGTGGGCATACTACGACGATCCAGAAGACATCGACAAGCTGCTTGTGTGGCTCGACGAGCGAGGTCACCGAGAGCGTGTTTTGCGTAAGGAGCTACAAGCGTTCCGTGATCGTATCGCTGAGTACATGCTCAAGATGCGGAAGCACCTAGAAGATTCCAACAAGACCCAGGAAGAGGAAGAGGATGACAACAAGACTCGAGTGTCGACGCGCAATAAGGCCAACGCCGATAAGGATGTTCCCAAGGATCGCTGCTTGCTCTGGACCAACAGCATCATGCGTGAGGAGTTCGGACATAACCATGTCGAAGAGTACGAACCACCGAAGAAGGGCAAGGCGAAGACAGTGAAGGCAACCAAGGCTAAGGGCCGAGGACGCTAACGCAGTCTCTTGGTGCCACAAGCTCACACAAGAGGCGAAGCATAACGGAGACGACCACCGGCTTGCTCTAAACCACGGCCACAGATCACTACATATGAGCTTACGAGGCAGCAATGCCTCAAAAGCTCGCCAGCTCAGAGGAGCTACAGAGAACAGTTGAGATACCGGAGCATATTCACGAATGATGATTCAGCATATTTTGGCGATTTACGGAGTTTCGATACCATGAGCATAGGCACTCAAAGTACATATCGTGCATTTCCAGGCGTTCGGAGAGGTGCGTAGCCGACTGTCACTGCGGTGAGGTGGCTCGCTTGGAGGTTTGATTCAGCAGAAATCCAAACAACTGACTGCGGCCGGTCCTTTGTGAGTGTCCGTGTTTGGCGATTTGCCGAACTTGATATCCAGATGCTGTTTCCAGTAGGAGCATCTTGAGTAAATGTGTAGCACTTAGCATGTATTATAAGCGTATTGTTAATACAGTTGAAAATGCCAAAAAAAAAGCTTCAATATAACTATCGCGTTCAATGCGATGCCTGAGAACATGGTGAAAGCTAACCTTGAGACGAAGTGACGAAGACGTGTTTGTACACGATACATAATCATCATACGAAACAATTAGTGTTCGAAATCACTGGGAATCGTACAGTTTTATCAGTCTTACCATTGCAATCTGTGCTTTACTTCAGTTCACGGACTGTTGATGTTTGATTGACAGCAGCTGACCGGTTGACCATTTCGGGTTAGTACGCGATGCGCGGCAGCTTCACGCGACCGGAGCCCATCAGCGGCGCATGCCTCCAGACCCGTCGCATCCCATCAACAAGAGACATTTCCGCATCTGGAACATTTGCACCGCACCTAGAAAGATCCCTTGAAGGGATCAGAGGCACGCCGAAGCATTCCGCAGGCTTCATAGAGCTGCCAACATGGCTACGAATGGCGCGCGAAAGGGTGAGCTCAACTCCGCACCCCTCCCCGGCTCCGCTACGAACGGGACTAACGTACCGCAGCATCTTCAGCCACAGAGTCCGGAGGGAGCTCTAGCCTACTGGAAACAAGCGCAGTAAAAGATGTCGTCAAATCGGAGAAACCAAGAATCAAGTTGAAGATCAAGAAGCCGGTCCCGAAGCCATCGATCCCTGGGAATTGGAAAGAAAGCGATGCGACAAGTACGTCTGCCATAACGCGCTGTATGCGTACATGCGCATGAGTCTATGGGATTATCTGACATGCTACTAGATGTCGAGAACAAAGCGACCGCACCATCGACTACTTCGCCAGTAATCAACCCTCTTGACGAGAAAACTATAGCTGGTTTCCCCAGCGGCCTGCCCCTAGACGACAAGGTAGACACAGTACAGTGCAAGCACTGTCGTCGACCTGTCCTCCGTGCATCTTCGGCTGCACACATTCGCGACTGCTTGAACAAGAAGCAAGAGAAGCTCAAGAAGAAGAAAGAGGCCAAGGAGGCTAAAGACGCAGCTCTCAGGAAAGAGAAAGGCGAAGACGACGAGGGTGGCAAATCCCGCAAGTCAGCCATCAAGGGTGCTTCGATAGACGGAGATGGCGCAAAGAAGGGCAAGAAGCGGAAGCTTGATGGAGATGCAGAGAAAGCACCTAACGCTAAGAAAAAGAAGAAGGATGAACCCAAGCAGAAGGGAGCAAAGCCCAAGGGCCCGGTCGATGTCGAGAGGCAGTGTGGTGTTTCTCTACCAAACGGTGGATACTGTGCAAGAAGTCTGACCTGTAAGAGCCACAGCATGGGTCTCAAGCGGGCTGTCCCAGGACGAAGTCTGCCGTACGACATGTTGCTGGCGCAGTATCAGAAGAAGAACCAGGCTAAGATCCAACGTACGTATCACACTGTCTCTAGCCGCCGTATATCGTGTGCTGACGCATTTCAGGATCTCTCATCGACGCAAACGCGCCCCTTCCGGAAGATCTCGAGCCATCAGGCGCTGTCGATTCGGACGAAGAAAAAGACTCTATAATGGCTGCCCTCGCCCGACACCGACCGCGACCCCTGGCAACGTACACGCATACCTCGCAACGCTCGAAGTACCAATACATCCGCATGAAAGGCATGATCCGCTCAGCGCTTGGCGCACCTCCAGGCGGAGGTGGATCCATGTTTTCAGGCGGTGACAACATGAGTACCGGTCGTGGCATGGCTCTCGGCATGATGGGCGCACCACTTAGCGCAACCAACGAGCACTTCCCACAAAGCGCTGGATTCGGTGCACCACTGAGCGCTGGTCTGGACAGCGGAGCAGGAAGCAGGAGACCAAGCGCTATTGGTGCTGGTGGGCCTCGGCAAATACTGCCCGGTCAACTACCAGGTCCTGGACAACAACGGAAGGGCAGCATGGCGAGTGTTGGCGCTACCTAGGAGGATATGCTACTAAAGGCGCTCTTGTACAGGGGCAAGGACCACGAGTCAGACGGCCAGCAGAGTTAACTAACCGTTTTTCTTTTTCTCCTAACTATGGCTGGAGGTTTGACGGAGTACAGATGTAGTCACGCTCACGGATGGGATATGACGATTACATGATGATCCTTGTATGGGTCAGGAAAGGTTTCTTGGATTTTGGTTACTGTATTACTATCTGGGGTTGGGAGTTTGACATGATACCCTCTTTGTTTTTACGTTCACTAGGAGACCGTGTAGAGTAGACAATGGTAATGTGATTTTATCACTTGGATTCCGTATAATTCTCATGATTCGTCGTGAAGCCGTGGTCTGCCGAGATTGAGACTATGAAAAGTTTGGAAGGCAACAAGAGAATAGGGTGACCCATACACTGCGAGAGCAGTTATAATCACGCCGAGACAGAAAGACTACGACTCGCCTTGCACACCCCAATATCCCGCTCTCTGTGGTTTTGGTACCGTCATCTTGAAGTGCAAATCATCCTCGTCCTCGCCACTTCCTAGCGCATTGTCATCGTCGTCTTCAATGTTGTATTCTTCGTCGTCACTTCCATGACGATATTTGGACTGATACAAATTCCGATCAAACTCATCGTCGTCGCTCATCTCATCTTCGGGATAGTCATTGGCGTAGTAGTCTTCAGCATTCTCATCTTCATCGTCGGTATCAAATTCTCGGTCGCTAGTCTCTTCGTTATCCCACCAGTCTGCGTCCTCTTCGCTGATGACCAAGAGACCGACTGTGCCTGTTGGTGCTGGGGCGTCTGGTAGAACGGGTTCGCGGACGTAATGATCGTATACGTATTCGCTATCAATGTCCATTGCATCGCCATCGACGGTTGAATTGTCTTGGGCAGCGAGAGCTGCAGCCTTGTCTGGATGTCGTTCTGCAAAGCGTTTTGCTGGAGCTTTGGGCTTGTGTTTTGAAGGAGAGGGGATAGGAATCTCGAGGTTGTCTACTTTCTCTACCTCTTTTGACAGAGCCTCCAGGTTGCGAACATCATTTTCTGAGGGTTCGGTGACAGGGGGTTTCCGGTGTATGGAAGGCTTCGCTGAGTGGTGGAGTGCGCTGCCTGCGCCTGGTCGCTTTCGTGGCCGCTCCGGTAAAGCTTCTGGTACTGGTGCTTGCACTTGTCCACCTGTCGGTATGTCTTCCTTCTTGGTGACTTCTTGTTCTTCTACGAAATGCCGTTTTGCACCAATTCTTGAAACGGGGTCGAGGCGAAATCGTCGGGCGAGTGTCGGTGTTGGCGGTGCTGATGATGTCTGTTGGACGTCGTCGCCCGGCTTTGTGAGACGCCTGTATGCGAAGTTGCTACTCCTCTGCCGCTTGATTTCCTTTTCGCCGTGCTCGATCCTAAGGGAGTCGACGGGGGTATCGGTGCGCTTTCGTTTGATAGAGATTGTGTTGGGTGGAAGTTGTTGTGACGACATTGCGGCAGCAGTGGAGGAAGACGTGATAGCAAATGAGTAGTCCAAGCCTGGATCGATATTTCGTATAGATATCCTGGTGGTGAACGGGACCAGCGAATCGGAGGGGCAGCGCGGGGAGGTGACATCAAAGCATTCCAGAAGCCGCGCAGAGCCCCAGTGCACTAGCGCGATCTACACCCGCGTGTCACGCCTCGAGCTCACCCACGCGATATGATCATGAGTCTTACTTGTACCCACACGAATTGAACATGTCTGCCTGTGCTCATCCGTACAGTCCTACTATCGCTCTTAAAGACGTCCCTTGCTTGTAGACGTGCACCGTCATATCCGCAACTCCGCAATACATCCCCGAGCACACCTCAAACGCGACGACGCCTGCTATCATGGATCGGGTGCGGCAGATATTCGAGCGCGAGAACTCGTCAGCCGCGTATGAACCGCTACAGGGGGGATCTGAGCGGCCAGATGGCGAGCACATCGAAGCAGAGGAACACGCATTCTCATGGACCGACTATGCCGTCTTCACGCTGCTAGGCGTCTCTATGCTATGGGCTTGGTTGGTAACCCAGACATCACGGCGTACATGATACTGACTGCACTAGGAACATGTTCCTGGCAGCAGCCCCGTACTTTCAGCGACGCTTCGAGTCCAGCGATAATCTACTCCGCAACTTCCAGTCTTCCATTCTATGCGTCTCCACCGTAGGCAACCTAGGCTCCATGATGGTCTTGACCAAGCTCCAGACCCGTGCCAACTACCCCAAGCGTATCATCGCATCCCTCGCCCTGAACGCCGTTGTCTTCACCTTGCTCGCTATATCCACAAAGTTCTTCTTGAACATATCCGTTGGTGTCTACTTCGCCTTCCTTATGCTCATGGTCTTGAGCGCTAGTCTGGCGACAGGGCTCTGTCAGAACGGTGTCTTTGCATACGTATCGGGATTCGGAAGAGAAGAGTATACACAAGGAATCATGTCTGGCCAGGGCATTGCTGGCGTCCTGCCTTCCATTACCCAGATCATATCCGTCCTATCCGTGCCCAAAAAGCACCACGCCAATGGAGCACCGCAAGAGTCAAGCACATCTGCTTTCATCTACTTCCTAACCGCTACTGCTGTTTCTGCTGCAACCCTGGTAGCATTTTTCTACCTCCTTTCCCGGGCTAGCTCCAAGCAGCGCTTGTCGCACGCCTCACTCAATGAAGGACCAGAATACGACCCGGCTCACAGCGAGCGCAAGAGCATACCACTAACGAGATTGCTCAGGAAGCTCTTTTGGCTCGCCGGCGCCGTCTTTCTCACTTTCACAATCACCATGTTCTTCCCAGTCTTCACGCCACAAGTGCTGAGCGTGCGCGACCCTTCAACTGCACCTCGTCTTTTTCAGCCGGCGACTTTCATACCTCTAGGCTTCTTCTTCTGGAACCTTGGTGACCTTATGGGCCGAGTAGGACCCGCTCTGCCTGCCCTACGCCTTACGCATCGCCCGCGCCTCCTATTCTTCTTGTCTATTGCGCGAGTATTCTTCATACCCTTGTACTTTCTCTGTAATATCGGTGGAAGGGGCGCCGCTATCAACTCCGATTTCTTTTACTTGTTCGTTTTGCAATTACTCTTTGGCATGACAAACGGCTACTTGGGGAGCAACTGCATGATGGGTTTCGCAGAGTGGGTTGAGCCGGAAGAACTTGAGGCAGCAGGGAGCTTTATGTCATTGTCGCTAGTTGGTGGTCTCACCACGGGAAGCTTCTTGAGCTTCTTTGCTGCACAGTCCTCGTGAGCTTGGGCATTCTCATGAGTGTGGCTTATCCACGCGACCAGCATCAGCGGGTTCGTTGATAGCTAACGTTGAATATGAAATCTCCTATGAGCCACGCAGAATCGCTTCTTTAAATCTTCTTTCAACTTTGCAAAACAATGGCTACTAACATCATCTACATAGTTGTTAGATGCCAGCTCCACCTTCGCACTGCTCAGCAGAAACAAGACGGTGGGAAATTCAAAAAACCTAAATTTAGCTGGACGGAGAAGACGGCACAGAACAATGCTTTCCTCCAGCCCGAAGAGTCAGGGAGTACATACGAGGTGGTAGAACTAGAAGCTGCAGATGGCTCACGATGGAAGACCAAGCTAGTCCATAGCACGTCTTGTGAAGAGGACGTTCGTATCGCTGGTCACAGCCATATCAAAGAGGTCGCTCTGCAGCACCGGACGGAAGAAGCTAGGAAGCATATAGACGAGCTCAAAAAAGCAGAGATCACGGTGATGGGAGCTCCAAAGTCTCTATGGAATGACGCGGAACCGGACGATGACTTATTTGATAGTATCTTTTACATTGTACACAAGCCGGTGACGCTCGGTGATGGGACTAGGATCATCATGACTAGGTATTGGTGGGACGTGGTTGTTGTAAGTTTGGGGATATAGGCAAATAACCTGAATGCCAGATATTAGCAAATGCTGGAATATTCTTTCAGGTGGCTCGTATTAGTTTGTTCTCATCGAAGGCTCGCAGAATGAAGCTTGCTCAATCCAAGGTCTCGCTATAACTTTGTCCATACCCCTCCCAAGGCGCTATGGAGAAAGCGAGACGGCTGTTCACTATGCCTCCCAACTCCGTCTACCTCGTCATTCATTCCCAATCACTCCTTACAAACCCAAAAGATAAACCCTGTTTTCGCGTTGTTGCCGAATTGTCCAACCCCCATGCTCGCTTCACCAGCCACGACCATGGCAATCATAAATACACCGGTGTTCGCGTCATGACTTCCGGGACTAGGCTCGGAGAAGAGTGGAAGGTCGAGCTCGAACACGATGTTCAACAAGACATCGAAATCGTCGGCTGGTGCAATACGCTAGAAGCCGTTGCAAAGAAGTTGACAAACAGCTTACTGGATAACAATAATGCACATGAGCAACGTACAGCGGAGGAAAATGGCGATAAGCAGAAAGTACGAGTGACATTGGAAACTTCTCTAGACGGGAACTTAACCGCATTCTGCCGCATCAAGTCAACCCAGACAAACTTTGACGGGTCAACATTGCAAACCACGACGTCCCACTGGTATGAAATCATCCGTGTCAATCTTGAACACGAAAATATGTATGACGTGTCATGGCGCGAGAAAGCCCGTTCGTCTCACCTGGAGGCCTCGAAAAGAATTGGTATCCTCTCGATGAAGATGAGAAGCCAGGGGTTTAGTCAGTCGGAGTTAGATGAGCTAGACGGGTTGCGCAGGGGCTTGGGATACTTAGTTGTTGCAAAGGATGATTTAGAGGAAGTTGTAAGGTATGTGAGGGAAACGGAGGAGGAAAGAAAAGGGGTGGAGGAGTATATTTAGATTGAGTTTGTGCCGACTAGCGATAGCGATGGCCAGGATGAGAGACACAGGGGAAAGCGGTATGTAGAACTGGAAGTGAATGATGACATGATCATAGGGCCGAGTGGCTCGCGGTCGTGCCTCGAACACTGTGCGGATTGTTTTTTTTGATTGTATCTTGTCTCTTTTCTTATCGTTTTGAATATTCGGACTTCTCACAAGGCACCCAATTCCTTGAGTTTGCTGATCATACCGTCTACATCTTCAACCTTGACACCGCCCTTCCGTGGCGATGGCTCGGTAACCTTGACCGTCTTCAACCTGATCTCAGTGTCCAGCCCGTAGTCGCTCAGACTCTTCTTGTCCAGCTTCTTCTTCTTCGCCTTCATAATGTTGGGTAAACTGGCATACCGGGGTTCGTTGAGGCGCAGATCCGTAGTGATGACCATGGGCAGCTTGGCCTTGATAGTTTGAACACCACCATCGACTTCTTGTACTACCTCGACAGTTTGGTCGTTGATTGTGACTTTGGACGCTTGGGTTGCTTGGGGCCAGTTCAGCAGGCCTGCGAGCATTTGTCCTGTTTGGCCAGCATCGTCGTCAATGGCTTGTTTCCCTAGGATGACCAAATTGCTCTTTTGCTCATCTACTACTTTTCGCAGAAGCTTCGCGACACCAAGGGGTTCCAGGGCGTCCTTTTCTTCTACAACTACGTGTATGCCTCGGTCTGCGCCCATGGCCATGGCTGTGCGGAGAATATCTTGAGACTTGGGAACTCCCGCAGAGAAAGCGACAATCTCTTCTACGTTGGGGGCGTTTGCATGGTGGGCCTTCTTTTCGCGCATGCGGACTGCTTCTTCGATGGAGAGTTCGTCGAAGGGGTTCATTGAATGTTTTACGTTTGCGGTTTCTACGGCGGTTTGGGTGCGGTTTACGCGAGGCTTGACCTTTTCATGGTGTCAGCATACTAGCCGGCATGGGGGCTTGTGTGCTCATCGTTTTGAGCATCTCGTCTTCGAACACCATCTTTCAGACACCCAAGCTGAACAATCGAGCGTCATGTCTAAAAGTTGGATCAGTGAACATACCGCATAGTCAATGACCCGCTTAACGGGTACTAATATCCTCAATCCTGACATGGTGTTTGTTTTGCCTCTTTAACACCTGGCAGCGCAATGTTCTGGGGTATCACAGGTGATGATGTAGAAGAACCAGGGTGGGGGATAGCATCGGAGCTCGTCCTTGAGTTCGCGATACTTAGCCGAGGCTTTTTCCGATGTCCGCGTCGGCCTTGGCGGGGGTCGTCGTCATATGGTGGCGCACGCGAAATACATCTAGAATACATGGAGGATGACCAGAGTGTCGTTCATACAACTAGCTACTTCGTGCTTCACATTCTCATCATGATGCTTGCAGATTATTCTCGCACGTTGTTGGTAATATCCTCTGACGGCCCCCTCAATTGTATCAACGAGCAGCGATTCACGAGTCACGAACATTCGAAGACACCACTCTCAACAAGTTGCCCACTGCGAACCTGGCACCAGCTGTGCGGACAAAAGCGCCCTTCTTCGGAGTTATTACCAACGAGAAAACATCGAGTATATGTTCAAGAACCAGTTACCCCCTCGGCAAACTGCTTACAACTCGCACAAAATCCAAAAGTTCTAGCGGCGTTGTACTCCCAACACTGTTGCGCGTATTCTGGCGTTGTAGTCCCGCAGCCATCACCTAGAAGTACACAATCATATCCATTGCTAAATGCATCAGTCAGCGTACCTCCCACACACTGAAGATGTGAAGATACGCAGTCAGTGTATGCCTCATATGCGTTCCGTACAGGCACAACTTACCTGATCCGTGTTGACACCAGTAAAGAATAACGTTCTAATGCCCTCTTTATCCAAAAACTCTTTGAGAGGCGTCGTTGAACCCCACATTCCACTCATTCTGTTCTTATGTATCCAGACATCAGGTTTACTTTCTAACTTGCTGCCTTCATCGAACATGGCATCGAGTGGAGGTTGAAGTGCAGCGTTCCAGGAATCGCGCATGAGTAGTTTACCTCCCTCTACAGTTTTCCCATCCGGAAACTTGAGAGTCCCGCAGTCTGCCCCAATTCCACGGTAGAAGGACTGATTTTCCTTGCCATGACGATCCACGCTGATACTCTCTTCGTGATGGCCGAAAGCGTCGTCAGCTTTGAAGTCGACGTCTGCGGGGATGGAAAAGAAGCCAAAAGCGCGCTTCACTGCTGGTGGCATATTTCCAACTTCCTCTTCCGTAAGCCCCCAGTTCACCCATATTACTCTGATGCTGGCTTTCCGCGCCGCTGGTATGGCATGTGCGGCCAACTGTTTACAAGCAGCGTGTCCCGGGCCTTTCTGGTCGCGACCAAAGGCTTCGGAGAGAAAGAAGTTTTGCATATCAATGATGATAAGGGCGGACTTTGACGGATCGATCGTAATGGGTTGAGTTGATGTCTGTATGATATGTGTAGGACCAGTAACTGGCGACGAATATACTGACGGATGGGTGAGATCAAACCCATTTTTGGAAGAGTGTAACCAAAAGTTCGAAGGCGAGCCTATCAAGGCTTTGCGGTGTGGTTCTTTTTGTATTGTAGAAGACATGGTCGCGGCAATTGCCGATATGATAGGTTTGGGCGATCGGTGTTGATTCTAAGCGTTGAAACCTATGCAACGTGACAGTAGGTTCTGAGACTCATATTCAATAGGTACTGGGAAAGCCAGCAATGATATAAGTCTTCAAACAGTCATCAAACGGTGTGGCCACTATCAGAGTGCCGGATAAGGAAGGCCAGTATCTCATCTGCCGAGGCGGGGTAGTTCGGTGTAGATCCGAGATAGTCGTTTTGTAGAGAATATGACCAAGAAGTATTTCTACATGCATATCTATACCCCTAGACATATATTAAGATTGAGCTAGGATACGGCGTTACCGGAATCCAGCAAGTCGCTTCCTCGCGACTTGCAGGAGCTGCGACGACCCTTCTTTCTGAATGGTCGTGCTCGGAGTCTCGATTATCTGATGCAAATATCTCCTGGCTCGTTCGTTGTTACCGATGGAGTCATAGTAATCCGCAAGCTGCAGCATTGAAGGTTTGTGGCCGATGACAGACGCGACTTGTTGCCACTCTCGCGCCAACGCCGCAGTACTGCCTCGTCTCCAGCTTAGCACCCAGTTGAGCGCTTTTCGTATGCTGTCGCTCTTCAAAATAGTAGATTCTGCTGTCGCTACTTCTTGGTAGAAGTCGGTAAGATTTAGTATTGCTTGTTCATGGCCGGATGCTGCTGCTTTGCTGGTATATTGCAACCACTTCTCACTTGTCCTCGGCTCAAACGCTGCAAGCTCATAGTATGACAGTGGATCATCGCCTTCAAGAGCGCCCTTTTGAAAGTAAAATTTGGCTTCTGCTTGTACTTTGGGGTCTTTGTCTGCTTTGAGAAGATAGCCAAGCGCATTCCATGGTGCTATGAGAGGCAGTTTCATTGCATGCGCTGATTGTCCAGGCTGATATCTGAGAGCTGCAGTTGTGATGACTTGTTGATACGCTTTCTTAGCTTCCTGCTTTTGTCCTGCTTGCTCTAGGAAGAGTCCTCGTAGAGTTGAGATTTCCAGAACCAAGCCAGGATCCTTTTCCAGGGACTGTAGGTCGATCGCGTCGAGAGACAGACGATATTGGGCTATTTCTTGCTTTGGAAATAGTCTCGTGATCTCTTGAGCAGAACTATGGCCTGAGCCGCCAAGATAGACGGCGGTCAGGATGTGTGTTATCGCTAGAGGGTCTCCACTTTGCGCACATCCCTGGAGCAGCAGTCCAGCGGTATTCTTGTGTTGACTTGGAGGCAATTGAGCTCTTTTCGCCGCATCGCCAATATCAGGTATCTTGAAAGTGACGATTGCAAGAGACGCTACATCGTTCAGCGGCACGTTGTATTCTGCTTGTGTTAGTAACATCTACGAGTGTACGTATGGGGATAGCACCCACTGTTCACTATGCGCAAGACGTTTTTGCCGTGGGGCATGGTGTTCTTATGCGCAACGAAATCATCATAGATGCTCATGGCAGTACGAGGCTCTATTTTGTGTATTCCTTCATGCTTCGTCAAAGTGTAGAAGCCAAGTCGACCGCGTGCATCGACATCAGCGCGCAACCTCGGAGCGTCAATTCTTTGCTTGGTAGCATAGTTCTGGACTCGCATGCTTGTTGCAAAGTCGCACGAAGATGTTGGATATCTCGTGGCATTGCGACGAATGGCTAGAGCGAGTTGATGCGATTGACACATGATGCAAGGTTCTAACCTCGCAATTGCTCTAGCTGAGCGTAAAGCTATTCGGGAAGCCGCCATGGTGACTCTGTGTCCAGTCGATAGAGTTGTGGGGTGGGAGATTGAGTCCACCACATGGTGGCCGCCGTTAGCCTCGGAGGTCCGCAATGACCGCGAAATCTTGGCACGCCAGAATCTTTTTGCATGTCGCGAACGATCCACAACCCAGCAACGACGAGCACAATCGCGGTTCGTACACAACGCATCCAAGCCCACAGAAACAGAGTCGCAATGGTCACTACACGAGGCGGAACGGAAACGCCAGGCGCGCCGACGCCGACACCAACACCACGCAGCTCGACGAGGAAAGCAGCAGGAAAGCGAGAACTCGAGTCGCTAGAAACACCGACACAAGCAAAGAGGCAGCGGAAGTCTGCGTCTACACCCTCGTCCAAGAAGAGAACTACTAAAAAGGCGTCTGAGGCGGACGCGCCTTCGCAAGAGTCTGCAGACAACACCTCTGACACCGTCGCCATCAACGCGTCTGCAACAGAAGACCCCCAGACACCAAAAAAGGATGACCTTGCACCACTCGGACGTCGATCCAGCCCTCACGTTGTAGTCAGCAGGAAGTCATCGGACGACTCTACGGCCACAGACAGCTTCGGGGAGAGCAAAGACGAGGCCCCAGCAACTTCACAAAACCCGTCTTTCTACACACCCGCACAGCAGCCTGGCTCTGGCTCCGTATATGCGACACCGGCTACAACATTTAAACAGCAGCCTGAAGGATCACCTACACCGAAGGCCAAGACGGCAACTCGTCAGACACCCGCATCGACGTCAGCGAAGAAGGGCAAGGGGCGCCCCAAGAAGGTCGCAGAAACACCATCCAAGTTCCCCGACGAGATCCCAACGTCCTCATACGAAAGTAACGCTGCTCCGATACCCTCACAAGAGCACGTTTTTCCTTCTGCACAACCCAAGAAGGCGCACAAGCGCTTTGGTAATGAGGAGCTTGTAGAAGCGCAAGAGTCGCTCGTCGTGAACGAGCAGAGCGATAAGCGACACGAAGAGCCCACTACCCAAATGAATCAAATGGATGAAGACGAAGCTAGCGACTCGGACGACGAAGCGCCTGAGGTCGTCACAACAGCCGCTGCAAGCTCCAAGGCACAAGCTGTGCAAGCCGAAGCTGATCGCGCACAAAAAGCCCAGCAAGAAAAAGAACGAGCCAAGCGACAAGCGCGCGAAGAACTCATCGCCGCCCAACAAGCTGCAAAGCGCGAGCGTGAGGAGAAGAAGGCAAAGAAACTAGCAAAGAAGACTGCCAGGGAAGCAAAGACCAATGCCGACTCGGACGATGAAGAGTCTGAGCCCATGTCGCGCATGGACATCGATATAACCAATGGTCTACTACCCACGTCCCTCCTCGAAACCATCGACGACCAACGCCCTCCCACACCGCCGCCCGAGCGTCGCGGAAAGACTGAAGAAGAGCTCAGGAAGGAGAAGCTCAACCATCATATCAAGTTCCTCGAGCGTGTTGACAAGCCGGCGAAGGATGTAAAGAAGGGCAAGCTCAGTGTAGCGGTGTTGGCCCAGCAGAACAGGGTGCTACCGCCAAAGGTCAGCAGGAATACAAAGAATGTGCGCGAACACTGGTTAAAGGGTCGTGAAGTGGAGAAGACACGCGGGAAGCCTGGCGTTAGGTTCGGGAAGAAGATGGAGAGGAGGCCGCATGCTAGCCGGGGTTTCTTGAGAAACGGCGATGACTAGACAACAGTGTATTATCAGTTGAGCTTTAGTAGTACGCAAAAGATATCCAGTGTCTTTCGACATGTATGCCTTGGATGACGGACATTTTTTTCGTCTTTCGTTCTCCTACTCTATATCCATGTTATGCTATTTACCGCCTTCCAGGCCTCTTGGGCTTAGCGAAGCCTTTACTCTCCTCCTTCTTTTCCACCTTGAACTCATCCATGATAACCTGCTCAGTGATTTCTTCAGGATCTGTCGCCTCAATCTTCTTCTCCACCTTCAACCCACCTTCGTTCTGCGCCAGACTAACCACGTTACCCCTACTTGCCGCGTACAACATCCTCTCCCTGATCTTCGCTCCACTAGGACACGTCGATATGAAGACGATACTTGTCGCAGAGTCATCGTGGCGGTAGAACGAATACCGTGGCTCCTTTGCATCAATAGCCCGGGCGATGGTAGAAGGCGTTGCGGACGACGAAGAAACTAACTCGAGCGTCTCATTCGAGCCGTTCATGCGCAGCTGCACAAGATTATCGGTCCCACCTTGACCCAGCTTCTTCAGCGCACCGCCAATCTCATCGCTGGCACGAATGGCAATCCTGCCTCCTTGGGCTAGGCCCTGACCGCGTGTCCCTCTACTCTCCAGCGCCTCAGCAGCCTTGATATCTTGCAACGATTGTTCTTCCGCCGTCAGAGGGTTTTCCGATTCCGTATGCGCAATGTGCTTCTCCCATCCTTCCGACGTGAGCTCTGAAGCTTCGGTTGTGAAGACGCTCTCGGCAAAGTGTTCTCCGCCCAACTCACGCACGAGTGTGAGGCGTGTAGACGCGAAGAGCATTTTTTGACGTACAGGCGCAGCATTGGGGACGTAGGTTACGGCCACGAGGGACTTGTCGGGTGAAGCGAGCGAGTCGGCGCGGCGGAGGAGGATGTAGAGGGCGGCATTGGGTTGGATGTGGGATTGGAGGTTCGAGAGGTCGGCGTTGAAAGTGGATGATGACGAGGATATTGTGCCGCTGGGGATAATGGTTTCGTTCTGGATTGTGGCTATGATACCGCGTTGTGATGTCGACGTTACGAGGCTGCCGAGGGCAGACTTGAGCTCTTGGGAAGCTATGAGGCGTTGTTAGCGGGGTTGTGAGGTTTGGACGCGTGATCTTTACCGGAGATACCGGACTGCATCTTTGCAAGTCTCTACTACAATGTCTTATGTGGCTGTTGTAGTAGTTCAAAGTGAGGGTTGCAGTATTGTTGAAAGGTCGGATTTGAATGTTTACACTGACGTTGAACCAGCGGTGATGTTGTACTATAGTGGGGCAAGTGGGCTGGAAGGCTGATGCACCTTGGCAGCCCTGCTTGTATCGTTATGCGTAATTTCACATCTTGTACCTTTGAGTTGTACTTGTTGTGAAACTTTATATGCATTTATAGACTGAACTATGTTATCCAAAAGAGCATGTGGATATCATGAGGCGCTTTCTAATGGACCAAAAGATGCAATCAGCGCTCACTCCTCGTATGCCCCACCAGGAAGCATCTCTCTTCCTTTCTCCAACACACCCTTCAGATACTCGTACACGGTAAATGTAACGGCTTGGCCGGGAGCGACTCGCATGACACGCGGTGTGATTCCCTTGTAGAAACTGCGTACACCTTCCTGTTTCCACATGTCGCTATCGATGGTCAGCCAATTCCTATGAACTTAGATTCATTTGAGACTTACTTTCCGATGTTTACTATTCTCTGGACAGCACTTTGACCCGCTTCCGCCGGTGTCTTCTGTAACCTCGTCTTGATAGTGTCGATCGGCGCATTTGTGAACGGACCAACAGCACCACTGATCAACCCAATCAGACTCGTCTCATAACCTGGCAGGTCCGTAGTGCCGTGGTACTTTTGCAATTGCGCCCTCAGTTCCGAGTATGCAGTGAAGTTTGCCGCTTGGTTCGTTCCCTGACGCAATGCTGTGAGCGAGACACCCCTCCATAATGCGCCAGCACCTTCCTCCTTTATGACAGTGTACATGGCATGGGCGGCGTTTCGGTACTTCGGTATATCGAGCGGATCAGCCATCGAGTGGTGCTGTGCTTGTAAACGGATCTTGACAACCTCCATTGGTGTGACGACAAGGACGGCTTCCGTGATACCAGCAGCGAGACCAGCTGTAGATTGTTAGAATGTAGTCTTGCTTCAGCTGGGTCTCTCCTGGAACAATGCGTCTACGTGCGCCGTGCGCTTTTCAAGATCGTACACGTACCCATGAATGTTGATTTCGACGCGACATTACCGTCCTTGTCTGCCAACAGCTGCTTATACCACTCGTAACTCGTAAACCGTATAGCCATCTTTGGAACAATGCCTGTGAGCACGGCGCCTAATCCCTTATATAGACCTAATGCTGTTTCCCTCTTTACGATCTCGGCTCCGGTCGTGATAAAACCACGCTTCTTCGCCTATGACATAATTAGGTCAGTGACATTCTGAATAGCGCATGTTAATGGCGAAGGTATGAGTCTGAACGTACTCCTGGTGCACGAGCTCGTCTTGACAGTTGCATTCGGACTTTGATTGTGTCTAATCCCAAATTAGTCTCAGGGCACCTGCGATGCTGGCACAAAGGATTAGAAACGTACCTAGCGGATGGCACGCGAGTGCCTCCATCATTCCAGCACCACCACCGGCTTCGTACTAAGGTCAGCATTCTATTGCGGACACATGCCCTCCAGATCCATTTCCAGAAGCTTACCGATCAAGTTTGTGGCCGCCGACGCGGGCTTCTTGCCGCCAGGCCCTTGCACCGACTTTGCAGACATGCTGTGTAGTGTTGTAGCTCAAGAGATCAGGAAGATCGGAGTTGCGCGAAATGGAGATCAAGAGGACCGAGAACTTGAGCACGTGGGGTTACACGAAGTTATGACGCTGAAGGAGCAATCCTGAGCTTTACCCTAGTTTTGAAATGGGAGCTACAGCGCGTGGTCAAAACCTCGGCTTCTCGATATGACGACAGAGGAAGAGCGCTATTCAAAAGCAACAACCGTGTAATGGGTATCAAGAAGAAGACTTGAAAGGAAGTTAGGAAAGCAAAGCAAAAGATGAGCGCAAGGAAATTCATCAGTCATATTCAAACCATCGCTGATCAGAAGCCTGTCTACCCGCGGGTGTGAGGACAAACACTCATTTGCTCCGCCAGCCTCGGCCCTTGCGTGAGCCCAGACCGCGTGTCATTAGTGTGAACTGGCACGCGTCTGTCTGGCACCTGGCGAATATCGGGGTACCTTGGCATACCCCGGATTTTGCCTTAGGTGGACGAGCGGAAGTTACGATGCGCTGATGTCGTTCGGCCGGCGATCGGCTGGTGGAATTACGTTACCGAGCCACAGTTGCCCAGTTGTCCAAGCGTTTGGCCGTTCATCATGACCTGCTTGGGACAATAGCACATGAAATACTGCATTTGTGTCAAAAGTTCGGGTCTCGTGTGATTCCGGGTTCACGCTTTCACAAGCTCGCGTAAGTAGGCATCTGTTTGTGGATGAGGGGTGGAATGATCGACATGTGAAAGTGTGGAAGATGACGTTGGAGGGGCTGTCGGAAACTCTCCGCTGCAGGTCCCTTCCGAGAGCGGCCGACCTGCACGTGCGCGAAGATGCCTCGGAACGTGCCTAGGTAACGAATCACTCTTCTATCCTGTGTTATCCGGGATGCGTTGAAAGACAGATGAAATGGGTATATTCGTACTACATCCACACCCCCTGGTCGTAACCTACAATCAGATAAATCTGACCTCGTTAAACAAACTCGACCTAACCTGCATCAATGCGACAAGCTCCAGTACAAAGTTCTGCAGTATGACTACGTTCGTAATGATGTGTAGTAAACTCGCTTCTCGAATATCATCTTCTTCAGTACTCTCAGCACCAGCTACCGCATCGTCGGAGGGCTCCTTGGGTGGCGGCTGAAACTTCGATAACATGACTTCGACCTCCTTTGATCCAGCCGGTCGGCGGAAGCGAATACGCCTTTTGCCGAACTGACTCATCCTGATCTGTGATATGCTAGCGTCGACATCTGACATCAACGAAGGCTGTTGAACCGCGTATGTTGATGACATGGGGGACGAGGCACGGGCAGGTGAACCGACAAGTGTCTGGCCTCCATATCTTGATGGTGCGGGCGATGCGCCTGGGGTATTTCTGGCTTCGGACAGCGTTTCTTTCCTACCTCTGGGAGACTGCGCCCTTAGAGGTGTCGTCGGCTGATTGCGTACATGTTGTGGTATCTGCGGTGTCCACGAACCAGCTGGGATATCCGAGGGACCTCGCGCGGGCTTCGACTGCGGTGTTGACATTTTCGATTCTTCCACGACATCTTGGTGAAAGCGGAAAGCGTTCTTCCGACTGGCAACGTGCTCATCCCAATCCTTGATGTCACTACGCAGGGCATCAACTTGCGCCTGGAGTTGTCTCAGGCACGCGAATAGCTGAGGGGTAGCAGAAGATTCCCATACCGGGAACCTTTCAGCCATGAACATGGCTCGCAGATTATCATTCGTGAACGACTCGACTTCAGGATCGTCGCTTTCAAAATGGTAGTCGGCGGGATCCACGGATAACCATCCTTCTAGACGTAACTGTGAGCAGGTGCCAAGCGTGATGATTGCCTCAGTGAGTGCTAGATTTGTCTCGACGTCGTTCGTCAAGAATCTTAGTAATAGTTCCATGAGAGACTGGAAGAGCGGATCTTCCGGAAGCAGTTGGTGCGGATCAACCTCTCTTGTTGCGGCTTCAGTTGAGTCAAAGTACCCTGGAGTCTTCGAAGACGTCGCGGGTAAGGCGATGGTCTTCAACGAGCAAGGGTGCGTCTCAAGTAGGCTCAGAGTATCTTTCAGGTAGCTCTCATACGCCTCATCGACACCGTCCATGCCAGCGAGGTCAATAGCGAGGTTCAAATACAACTCAAGCTCCTTGTTCAGGGATCCGACGGTTCTGTTATGCTCTTTATGATGCAAGTTCATTACCTTGACCAGAGATCCGAGAGCGTATCCATGGCTTTTGCTCAATATAACATTGGTCAGCTTCAATGCTGCAATGACTGTCTGTGAATTGCGCGACGCTGTGCTTCCTAACACGAGATCGACGAGGTTGAACAAGGATGGGTTCAGCTTATCGTCGTCCTTGTCGGAGGCGGTAAGGAGCATAAGCGACTGGCGCCGTTTGACAGCCGCAGGTGACCGTGGTGTCTTTGAGGATGCGTAGTCCTGGAGGGCAAGTAGATACTGGAGCATCATATGGACAAGCTCTGGATGATCCAGCGCATCTAGAATATGACGAAGATATGTGAGTACTGCCACAGACGAGCCGCCATCGGCGTCAGACGACTCAAGTAGCGAAGGATATCTGGACGGGGTCAGCTATGTACGTACTGAGGTTATGCTAGCCAGACGCACAGAAGCTGCTGGAGGAATAAAGCCTGGAAGTGATCGATCAACGTAACCCTTACGTCCAGGGATCTGCAGTGCTCAAGCACATCTTGCCAGAAAGCAAGGTATGACAGGAACGTCAGAAGATGACTCTGGAAATCGGGAGTAAAGAAGTTCTCTGCTTGCGGATTGGACTGCATCTCGGTGTAGTCGGAGAGCAGCAGGACAGGGGGCAGGTTATGCGCAGGGTGGAGTATTGACAGTTTTCTAGTCAATGTTAGCTCTGTGGTCATGTATATGGATGGTGTCATGCCTGCTCATCTGACTATACAGCGCTCCCAATCCAGTCGCCATGAGCGTAGGCAGATCACTGTTAACAATCCATTGTTCCAGATCCATTGACCTAGATGCAGACTCGAATATGTAGAGCAACCCGGTGCGTGCAAAGTCTCCGATACGGCCTTCGTGGTGGACATGATCGATGAGCTGATAACACAACGGAAAGTCCTCTTTCTGCGTGACGCCGGCGAAGTCGGTCTTTTGGTTCAGCAGCCGCCCCTCGCTATCTGCAGATGTAGTGGTGAACCAGACATGCAGAATCTCGGGCTGCAACCTGATCTTGGCCGCGATGCCAAACAGCAGCTCTACGATGTCGGCTTCGATATCTTCTCCTATGCCCATGCTTCCTGACCCAATTGTGCGGTCGATGAAGTTCATCAGCGACACGGCAAAGACGTCGTTTTCGAGAAAATCCTCCTCTTCGCTGTCGATGAGCGCATTGTAGAAGGCCACGGCGTCCCTAACTGTGCCCTCATCGTGTGCCGTCGCAGCTATCTTGGAGATTGCCGTGTATATCTGCTGGGCGGCCGAGAACTGGAGGCACATGTGCGGCGCCGGGGAACGGGACTCGTCGCTGAGTATCGCTGTGAGGGCCTGGAAGCCGCGCCGGATGTTGCCCAGGGCTTCGCGGTCGTTGGCGAGGTTGGTCGACTTTTGCCATGTTTGCTGCAGCGTGTCAGATGCCAGGCAACTCTTGGTAGCGATGCAGCCATACCAGTATCTGATTGTATCGCTGCCGGAAGCGTGCCAGCCGCTGTTGGGGGTTGTTGGGGGCGGCCTGCTTCTTCTTCTGGGACGAGCCGCCGAGTAACCTCACCCACTGGCTGCAGTCAGTCCTGATATCGCGCCTAGAGCCGTGCAGAGACGTACGAAATCCATTTGATCTCTCACTCACCCCGCATTTGGGCCGTGTACGTGGGGGATGCAAGGGTGGAAAGGAGTGATGTCGACGCGGAGCGCGCCGTCGTGGAGCGAGCTCGAAACCAATCGCGTTGCATCCTTCTCCGCAGCCCAGAGACCATCACCCTCTTTGCGCCAACCCTGCTCCACGTCAACGTGATTTGGAGCAATGTGCTAAACTCGAATCCACCAGGGAGTTTCTGTCTTTTGCAGAAACTACCAAAATGCACGTTGCACACGCCACTGTGTGTGTGTGTGTGTGTGTGCAAAAAGCTAGTACTGTCATATCGTTGGTAATAGCGGATCAAGGTCACAACGTGGACATATCAGAAAGGCGCCATCGTAGCAAGTCTTAATTATATTACTAGTATCCTGTAGACGAAGAGATCAAACAGACGAGAAGCATCGCAGGCTATGTGACATAAGAAGAAGATTCCAACAACAACAACAACAAAAACACTGCTCATCAGATAGCAGCCTCTTCCTTCGTCCACTTGACCTCCTTCTTGACATTCTCACCATGCAGCGTCGGCAGGCCACTCATTCCTAACATAAAATCTCTGCCCTTGAGCATCCACACAAAGAATGACGGTACCTTCCATCCCATGATAGCGCCAACACCGCCTCCACTTCCGATTGGAACAATCATGGACTCTTTTGTATCAGGCGTGTACAATCTGTCCTGGCCCTTCGGCTTCTCTTCAGGGAGCAGAGAGTTGAAGGAGAGCAGGTCGCGCTTGAGGTTGGTGGCCAGAATCGGCAGAGCCATGTTGATGTCCCAGAAGTTGTTGCGCGAGTACGATGCAATATCGCCGAAACCATAGACGCGAGGGCCTGCGATGTCGACGCGAAGGGTGGAGTTGTTAGTAACCAAGTAACCTTTTTCGTTGAGGAGTTGTTCTGGGAGCCAAGTAGAGTTTGGTTGAACACCATATGCGGGAACGTAGAGATCTGCTTCAAGCTTATCACCGTTCTTCAGAGTGAGCGATGTGTGGCCGTCTTCCGTCTGTGTTGAATCGGTGACTCGCGTGTTATACACGACCTTTACACCAAGCGCGTTGAGCTTTCGCTCTGCTGTTTTGGCGATTGCAGGGCGAAGACCTGGAAGAAGCTGCTTGTCCGACGTGATCAAGGTAACGTTGACGTTTGGCTGCACCTTGCTGAACCATCCTGGCTTGCCGTTACGATGCTCGGCAACTTCGCCTGCGAACTCAACCCCTGTTGGACCACCACCGACGATCACAATCTTCTTCGCTGCCTTGATCTGATCGTTCGTCGAACTGATCGCGTTCAGGGTGCTTCGAGCATCGGCACTCATAGAGAAGGCTTGGAAGTATGTCTTACTTCCTGTAGCAACAATGAGGGCATGGTAGCTCAACGATTCATCATCGAGTCCCTTGTTACTGCGAAACAGCACACGCCGCGCTGATGGCTCGAGACCAGTGGCGGAGGCTTCGATGAATGTAAAGTCGTCCTTGGAGTATTGCTTGAAGCCCTCGTGTAGGTCAAACAAGACCCTGTCCGTCGACATGCGCTCAGTGGAAGTTGCCACACGTGGTGAGGCAACCCTGAAGTACCATTGCGAAGATGGCGAGATGTTGTAGACATGGTACTTGGCATCATTTCTGGCCTTCAAAGCAGGCAGAATATGCTTGAGGATGTAATGCGTTGCCTGGAGGCCAGCGCCTGACGCGCCAATAACGACGATATTGCGTTGTTCTGACATTGCTGGTCCGATTGTGTATGGTATTGGGAAGAGTGAAATGATGCGGTGCTAGACGTCGACTTTAGATACGTCTACTGGTAACCAAGAAAGGAATATTTGGATATCATGTGTTTGATGAGCTAAATGACGAGGCCGCCTTGGTCTACATATACTCGCCATTTCCACCGTATGGACACCGAGCGCCTGCGATCATACAGACGACGGACCAAATCTCTACGTAGCCCTGTACTGAAACATTGAGATTCAACCACATTAGTGTAGAAACTTCCAAAGATGCTTTCGTTGTATCGTCCGTAGCGGCGTCGCGACAGCAAGAAAGCGAGGTTTGTAATGCTAGGAAGGACCGACCCCCGGCCGGATATCTGAAGATCCGCGGTACCGCAAAGTTCGTAAGCAAGGTGCCAAGGTACCGAGGGTTCTCATTGGCCAAAGTCGTTAGGGACGCTACATTTCCGCTGTTCGGCGATACAGAAATGAGACCGAAATTGTAATTCACCCAGCTCTTATCATCTCATGCCTTCATTGTTGTATGGCGTTACCGGGACAAGGTCAGATTTTTCCAAAAGTGCAACACCACGTTCGACATAGCGCCACACAGTTTCTCACGTAAAAAACTCTAGACAGGACTCCTGATTCGGTCATTCCTGGTCCATTGAAGGAAATTCTCGAGTGGCAGCAAGAGTACGCAGGTGACGATCGGGTTCGCCAAGTTTCGCAGCCACGGCTCGACAAAATCACGGAGGCATAGGTATTCAAGGCAAGATCGAGGCATATCCGATTTGGACGGCTGGCTCCCGTGTTGATTCTTACGGTCGCCAGGTTCGGTATATCTGCTGCTAATGTGGGTGATGTGCTCCAGCAAACGTGACGTGCAGAAGTGCAATCGACAACCACAATAACGATGCGATGGTTCGAAAACGGGCTCAATATTGAGTGAGTTGTAGTAGCATGATGATGGGCGAAACAAGGCAGGAATGATGGCTTAAGTCATAACATTGAAGTTGGTATCCGAGTGGCTAGAAACAAGGAATTAGTCCGCGCTAGTGACACAAGCCGCCGCTGTGGCACGTCCTGCGAGCAGAGAAGTAACGCTTAACAGCTACTCAACATGTATGATTCCAACGTTATTTCCAGAACCTGCCGAGCAGCTTGTCATTGGGCTGTCTGTCACTAAGACTCAGTAAACAGCACGCACATCACTGATCATGAGCACGTGGAAGAATGCCGCTTTCGCCTTCGTCGTTTGCAACATTCATCACCTCTTGTAGCCCTAGCGAAGAATAGAAGAGCCGATACGAAGACTGCATGCGTCTGCCCGGCCCAAATTTACGGCGAACATGTTGCCAGTAAATAAGCTTTTCCAACACCCATGAACGTCATGTCCAACACCAGCAGCCTTCATGCGCCAGTAAAGACCTCCTGATCTTGATAACTCCCTACTTCCTCGCCAAGCATGCTCGTCTGAACCCAGTCTTCGGTGCCGAACCCTTCGTTGAGACCGTTGAGGTACTCGTTTGTAATTGATGGCCATACTTGGCTTTGCCCTTCAAGGCTGGGACAGGTCGCTGGCGGCATCTCCAAACTCTCTTTGGATAGATTGTGAGCCATCGACGCAATAGTAGAACCATAGTACACAAAATTGTCGTTGGTTTGGTGACTGGATATAGCATATAGGTCATTGTTCAAATCATGTAGAGCGTTTCTTTGGCTTGCGAATGGCGCGCTGACTGTAACGGTATCCGAACCGGACTGAGGTATATGTTCGTGCGATAGATCAAAGTATGAGTCATTTTCTGACGGCGTGAAGCTAGCTTCAGGAATAGTCTGCGAAGGCTGAAATCCATTGTCTCGTGCCCTGTCGTCCACTGGAGTCATTCCTGCGATACAGCCCCACTGGTACGGCCACGAGGGCGCTGCTGGTTGTGAGTGCGCATGAGGCTCCCTAATAACTTTCTGAGCAAATTTGGGACTTTGCTCACTGTACGCCTCATCGACGGTTATCCGAGAAGGGCCTTCGTAGGGCTCGGGTGGTGGCGTTATAGGCTCGTCCACCTTTGTGACCCTCAAATCTTCCAACTCGGATCCTACCGCTGAGTCGACCGATGCTGACCTTTCAGATCGATTCTCTTTAAGGTCTCGCGCGATTTTGATGATGAGCTCTTCAAGACTGTAGTCATTCCTTATCGAGGCCACCCTTTTGGCAACTCTGTGCAGAAAGGCATCAGAATCTTCTTGTTCGTTGGCGTAAGGAGATGGTATCGAGGCCACGTGAGGAAAAAGACGCGTATAGACCAATCTCCACTTAGCCCCTAGAGTGTCCATACTACTATATTCCTTCTTCTTGAAATTGAGGTCGGCATCGTGAACCCCCTGTGATGAGCCATGAATTTGTTTGAAATGATCCTTCATCTTGGCAAGCTCATTGAATCCCTTCCCTTTACACGAAGACATCCGATAGGTTTTCGGATCATACTTGTGAAAGGGAAAAACAACACGACTCTCATCTCCGGAACCACCGCCAACGTATTTCGACTGTACACGCTTTGCTTTTCTAGGCGCGTTGAGGTGATGGACAATAATATCCAACGGACACGTTGACTTGAGCGTCTGATTATGCATGGAAGTTTCCCCGCGCTTCTGGAAACCACTACCGCCGTGAGAAGGGTTGACTGAACGCGTCGCCCTCACTCGAGTCTTGGGATAGCTGATTGAATGGCTATGGCCGAGGCCGCGGTCCGCACCAGACCGGGGGATAGGGCTTTGCATTTTGATTTCTGTGGCAGCGTGAGAGAAGTTTTCTGTACATAGTCAGCTTTGAGAGCAAAGAAGTAGTTATAGACCACACACCGGGCAATCTGTATCAGTCAGTCGACTCTCTTCAAACGTTTGTGGGCCGTACGAGAATGCAGACGTCTTTTGTGCTCGAGTTGGTTATGCTTCGCTGCCGGTCAAAGAGTGAGACACTACCACCTCTTGCGTACGTATATCGTATGTGTCATACGTATACAACATTTGCAACGTTGATAACGTTGTTAACGATATTCTTATTACAGTCGGCACGATAATCAGTATCGTCGAGTTCACTGAGTGATCTTTGAAAAATCAATTGGTACCATTGGTAGAACAATCAATGTTGGCAGGAAACGCGACTAGTTTCCGTCTTCTCGTGTTTCGATCAACCCATTGCATATACGGATCGATGGCAAAGAAGTCGAAATGACCCTGCCATGGCGACATCTGCAAGTCTCCGACCGATCGACAGACATGTGTTTCTCGTCTCGCCCCTTCATAAGGGCTTGAACGATATCCTGTCGAAGTCTATTGTATCGTTGCATGCACGAAGACTGAACCAAGATCAGTGCCTGAGGAAATGATGGAAATGGGATAGATAAATGGAGCATAACAAATATACGGCTTTTTATACTTGACCAGATGCCAAGCCAGGATACGCGTTCCCCGAAAATGCTCAGATAAGCATGAGGGGAAGCGATCTGTCGTATTTCCTACAGTCCAACTGTAACACAATTGCGGATCTTGTCCTACTCGAGCCAAGTGCAAAGACGGACCGCATGATCTGTGGAAGCAGTGGGGGCCCGATGCATCTCGGGTAGCAACATCAATCGTACGTACCAACCAGGCCCTGGAACGGGGTGGAATAAGGATTAAGATGGCTGTAGTGCTAGGCAAATATCGATGACTTGTGCATGTTCTTGGCTGAACAATGGCGTTAAAAAACTAATTTGCAGTGCACAGAGCCGCTCTCGCAAGGAAGAGTGATCAAATCACTTTGTAAACTGCAAGTCCCTATCCAACCCTTGCTCGAGATAAGACCGCTGCTGATTTCCGCGCAAGGCCCGTTTGTGAGTTCAGACCTAAGCCGACAACAAAAAAGAAACGTTATGTCTTTAGCCAATAGTAACTGATGGGCGAACGGTCTAATACTAGATTGAGTCGACAAGACAAAGATAGCCCAGAGCCCAAACACGTAAGAATCCTCAACGCTGGAGAGATGACCACAGCCGCTACAATATTGGTTATAACAATGTTGAATATATTCGGCCAGAAGAAACCTTGAAGCTGACAACCAAAGTTCATGATATTTGCGACACACAAGAAGCTGAACATGAGAAGGTATATTGAAGGTGTCATTCGTCTGATGCTTCAACAGCGTCTAGTCGATGTCATTATACACTATCCCTCATACCATCAGTGGAATCTAATCATCCTGGTCCCAGTTGCCAGGCTGCGCCTTTCCAGGCATCTTGGGTCCACCAGCTTGCCTTGCGACAATGATCTGGTCGACGCTTAGAACCGTCCTCGCGGCCTCGGTTGCGAGTTTGATGGCCCACATCTTGCTGACCCAAAGATCCAAAATGCCCTCTTCCTTGGCATCGAGAGTACCAGTATTGTCGTCGTTCTCGATGTCGACACCGACTGTCCACTCGTCGTCTTTTCTGCCCTTCTGTGCAGCGTGTGCGACATAAAGCTTAGCGAGAACTTCAGTTGCGTCCAGACCGGCTGACTCGGCGAGCGTTCGTGGGATGACCTCGAAAGCTTCGGCGTACTTGCGGATAGAGTATTGTGCCAAACCTGACGTCTTGTCTGCAATGGCCTTGATCTTTTCGACCAGCTGCATCTCTGTTGCTCCCGCACCTGGTACCAGCCGGGGGTCGCGAGTGATGGCCTTGACCACATTTACACCGTCGTCGATTGCCCGCTCTACGTCGTCGAGGTGGTTTTGAGTAGCACCACGGAGGACCAAGGTCGCGGTCCGTGTCTGTTCGTTTTCCTGTCTGAATACTGTGACGCGGTCACCGCCAATCTCCATGGTCTCAACGACGTCAATGGTACCCATCTCATCTGGCATAGGTGCACCAAGACGAGCAAGTGGAGTAGCACCGACAACCCTGCATAACCGTCGAAGCTCGAACTTGGAAAGAACCTTGATGACAAGAATGTTGTAGCGGTTGAGGTAGTGGAGGGCCAGCTCTCCGACGGTCGAGCCAGCGACAACAACCCTCATTCCCGAGTCGTGGAGCTCCTTGATGATCTGCTCCACTTGCTGCTCCTCGCCCTTTGTGAAATCCATCATCTCTTTTGCGTTGTGCAGCAGTACCGTGCCCTTGGTCTCGGTCTGTGAAATGTCCACTGGACATGAGAAGACACCGACCTTGGCCTTTGTCGCCTTTGTGACAATACCGTCTGGCTGCCTTGCAAAGACCATGCCCTTGACGACCTTGCTCTGCTCTAGGGCGCCACCCATAATCTTGACCACGCGGACATTGTCGACATTGAAGTTGACAGGGTTCTTGGGGAGGACGGCGAGGACGGCTTCGGCGACCAGGTCAGCGAGAAAGTCTTCGCTGCCGGACTGCTTGGCTGCGACTACAGTGCGGATGGCTTTGCTGAGTTCCTGCTGCGAGCGGATGTCTTCGACCTTGTCACATACCAGCTCTGTTTTGGATTAGCCTCTGTTCGGTCTCGGGCACATATACGTGTAGCATACCCTCCAGTGTCTGCAGAGCCGCAAGTTGTGCCTTCTCGTAACCCAAGACAATGTCGCTTGTCTTCAGGCCCATCCGTATTAACTCCTCGGCCTTCTTCAGTAGCTCACCGGCCAGAACAATGACCAGGTTTGTCGCATCGCCCATCTCAGCCTCTTGTTGCTGGCTGGCCATTACAAGAAGCTTCGCCGCAGGGTGTACAACCTCGAGTTCTCGCAATATGGTCGCGGCGTCTGAGGTCAGGATCATCTTTTGAAGGTGGTTTATGACGATCTTGTTGCGGCCGTAGGGTCCGAGAGAAGTCTGAACGGTCTGGGCAATAGTCCGGCAGGCATCGATGTTGCGAATAACAGCGCCATCCTCAGCGTCGTAGCTGTTGCGGGGTGGTTAGTCGAGTGTTTATTGTGATTGCGGGGTTGTAGAGGGCCGTACTTCTGGTAGCCTTGCTTGAACAAGCCGGCATTAGGGGCGTTGGGTATTGAGAGAGACATGTTGGCGGTGTGTGAGGGGTATCTTGGTTGTGGTGGTGTACCTGAGTCTAAGCTCTGCGCGGCGAGAACGCGTCCAGTCCCAAATTTCGATGCCAAGACTTGGACATCGGGGGAAGGAAATACCGACCATTCACGAGCAGTAGTCTCAAGAGCAGATCATCAGATGCTGTATATCATAGAGACATGTGTAGCTTGGCTAAAGCACCCGATATCACAGCCGTGCGTCATCTCAAAGCATGAGCTTGGCCGTAGGGCGCAAGGTTGCGAGTCACTAAATTGAATCCAGGCTTCACGCAATAGGCACCTCACTTGTGAGTTTCGCAGACGCGCATGGTTAAGCATCAGCGCATCGACTATTCGCTGAACTGTCCTTCAGACGTTGTTCTGTCGTATGCATCATCGAGCCCGTGGGCATATAAGAAACTCGTCGAGTGTGCAATAATGTGAGCAAAATCTATCTAGCCGTACACCTTAGGACTTGTGAAGGTACCGCTAGCGAAAAAGACTGCTCAACTTCTTCTGGGCACCGTTAAATGACCAGGATCTCATGACAGTACGAGTATGCTGGGGATAAGGAGGTGCCGTAAAGAAGAAGAGAGGCTGTTTGCGCCGAAGAAAAGTTAACTTGGGATAGCTGCTTAGGTAATGCCGCTAGACCCAAAGCACCTCCGTTCCCCGAACTTTTCTGAGATCCTCGAGATGTGGCAGCGGCTGCACCGTGATACTGCGGAGGGCATCGGGAGAAATGAACGCCGGACAGCAGACAACGAGGCGACTGGCCTCAAGAGCTGGTATACATTGCAATTGGTATGCGAGGCATTTCGAGTGCTGACGAATCAAGGTCAATCAATATGCCGTTCATGTAGAGACACCATCACCCGCACATACGCATCCGCCGCTGCTGCAGCCATCCAGACCGACGACCAAGCTGCCCAACATATCCCCCCCGTTGCCCAGGCTTCGCCGTCAGCCTCTTACGCTGTCAACGCCGGTGTTGTCCTGTCCCGCCCCCCACAAATAACACGCGACCTCCACCCATTCGAAGCCGCCTTCTTTCTCTACCAAAGACGTCTGAACGAACGACTTGCGCTGCCCTTCACAAGATATTTCTACGTCAAGAAACGAACACCTGCAGATCTAGAATGGAAACGAAAAATGAAGCAACGGCTGACCCCCGCCCGCGATATCGGACGATACCAAGGTTACGGAGAGGAAGCCTGGAACGACGAAGTTCTCGTGGGAGCACAAGAAAGTGATTTCGAACACCAGGTCGGGAAGCTTATAGAAGACGCTGAGCAGTCTGGCCTGGAGGACGCTCCAGATACCACTGGCGCAAAAAAGATGGAGCGCGAGCCCGTAGAGAAGCCGATGCCGAGGATAACAGAGGCGGATCAGAAGAACGACACCAAGAGCT